ACATGTATGGTCACTGACCCAGTGCTGCTTTCCCCTTGGGCCTCAATGATCTGCCACAGGGCACTCTTGGCATACAGGAAGGACATTTGGTCACTTCACAGGCTCCCTCAGGATACACCTGCAGCTTCCTCTTTGACACATCAAAGATCAAATGCAGTATATCATCTACCAACTGATCAGACTACAAAAACGATGAATTTTTAGAAGCATGGATTTCTTTATTGTCCACAAACTGCAAAAATTGTGAAAATTGCTGAGAAACTTGGTAAATCATTTGGCAAAGTGACTGGATGAAAACTGTCTCCCGGTGACCATTGTTTTATAGTATAATCTAGAACAAAAACAAGTCGAAAAATATGAGTGTTTGTTTTAAAAGTAATCAAATCTTAGCCAGTAGCATAAATACAAGTGGAGGGTGAAGCAAAGTAAATGAAAAAGCTCTCTGAGAGGCAGTGAACACAGCATGATGCCAGCTTAGTCAAATTATGGAACAAAGATTACTATATTTACTGTGCATGGTTTCTCAGAGAGGGCAAACAAGCTAATTAATTTAGGCCAGAAGAGAAGAAGATTGAAATTTTATACCCTTCTGCAAACCATCATTCTATTACAGCCTGTAAGATAAACACTGAGTGGTGGTAAAATGTGCACATCGCTGATTCCAAACCCATATGAAACAGACTGTAAAGGAGGTTTTCTTGAGTCACATTAAACTGATATAGTGTATTTCGTTTAGGGCCAACAGAAACAATAAGGAAAACCCATGAGAGTCATATATTATATATCTTTGTATGCTATAACAATATTACTGGTTTAATGAGTATATCAACATAACGACAATGGAAGCACACTCTCCAATAAAATGTTGGAGAATCACTGCAGAACAGCTGGGGAGAATACGATGGTAAAAGAAAGGGAGTCAGTATTTCCCTGCTTCACAAGGCCTGTGACTCTAAATGTGGCACGGTTGTTGGAAAATTGTTGCCTGTTCTAATGAGTCAAACTTCTGCTGTGACGGTTGAGTCAGAAGCAACATGAAAGCATGCGTCTGTCCTGTCTTAAAAAGTGTGAGGACACACTTTGGCCATCTTAGAACTAGTTTTAAACAGCACATCATACATGGGTATTGTTGCTGACCATGTATAGTGTATACATCTATTAAAGTCTGCTTCCAGCTGGATAACACACCATCTCACATAGCTTAACTCAAATCAAGCTGGTTTCTTGAATATAACAGTGGGTACACCGTGCTCAAGTGGCCTCCACAGTTGCCATACTTCAGTCCAATAGAGTACCTTTGGGATGTGGTGCATCGAGAGATTTGCATCATGGACGTGCAGCTGACAAATGAGCAGCAACTGCATGATGCTGTCATGTCAGCCTGGACCAACATCTCTGAGGAATGTTTGAGCATTTTTAACAGTATGATATCTCATTATAAAGCAAAAAGAAGAAGAAGAAGTAGAAGAAATAGCTCAATGCTTACTAACTGTTTCCTATTCTTTTTCTAGAATAGAATGACGGCAGCTGTTTTTGTGGTCAAAAACATGAATGTCATTTCTTGTTAGCTGAAGGTGAGACTCTTTCTGTTAATTCCAGAGAGGGCTAAATAATTCTCACATCACTGTGCTCTAAAGTATTTAGAGTATTTATATTTCATTACATACATTTAATCTGTGATGGGAAGCATAGCAGATAGATTAGATAAATGCACAAACATGTAGTAATTTTCCAGAAAAGAAAGGTTGAGATTGGTGTTTGCTCATCTGCTTTTCCAGCCCCGTTGTTCCTCAGCGGAGCCAACTTGATGATGTTACAAGAGCTAAGTGAGCTGTTAAAACTGTCCCTCTTCCTCTCTCCAGTGTACACAGCCTATCACTGTGCCAGCTGCTCAGACATGCTGTGAGTTGTCTCGCAAACACCGGTGTCCCCTGTGAAAACTCAGTGAAAATCTCTACCACTCTTCAGTTAGTGCTAAAATTTAAGGATTTGGCAGAAAAGTCACGCAACACAATACTGACAAGCAGCCTAAAACAAAGGCAGGACATTTATACCTCTAAGATTATTATGCACAACAGATGATTTGATAAATGTGCTTGTGTCACACAATAAAACCACATCTAATTATGCTTCATCCCATTCAGAAACATCTATCATCACCTTTTGTGAAGCGCCTTTTTACCCGTTACCCCACTTTGTGAACACATTACCTCAACGAGGTGATGTAGGATTTTCACATTAATACCATAGGTGCTACTAAAAAGCTCACACCAGTTCAAATCTCAGTGACCTCGACCTTAAGTTTTCCAAAACTCTTGTCAATGCACATACAGACACATCAGGGGAAGCTTAGAGTTCGATTTCTTACCCAAGGATACTTCAGCATGAGGAGAAGGAGTCGAGAACTGATCGACTTTATTTTCCAATTGGTACGCAACTCACTCTGCCAAGTGAGCTACCGCCACCCTTAAAATGCATCGCCCGGGAATTGAACCCAGCTCGCAAGAATGGGAATCTTGCGTGATACCACTACACCAGCGATGCTCGAGATGCACCAACCTTAAAGACTCCTTAAGGTGGATGTGAGGTCTGTGGAATTGTCAGCTCTGAATTTCAGAGTTCTCATAAACAGAATCTATGGCTAACACACACACAGGCACGTTACCAAGACTATAAAATGCCAGCAGATGTTTCCAGGTGTAACGTGCCAGTTAACCTCAGCAAGGCACACAATTTAGATCCCCTCTCTGCCCCCTGCAGCACTAAAAGACTCCAAACTTCCCTGCGTCACTTTCCAGCTCGTGTTTTTCTCTCACTGCATTTCTGTCTGCCCTTTTCATTGTTCACCAAAGGTCACAGAAGTGTCTCATTATTATCATGTGATGTTTTACGTGAAGACTGAAGACTGAAAGGTCACAAGCCTTGTTCACAAATAAAACATAGCAAGAGGCCTCCTGACCAAAATAGTGTACATATAACAATTATTGCTGTGTGTGTGTGTTGGTTAAAAATAAAAAAAACAGACTGATCTCGAGAGGAGGATAAGCAGTGTAATGTAAAAACAGAACTTTCTTCTTTGTTCTTAAAGCACAGGCTTTTTGCAGCAAACTACAAAAGTCACAGAAGTCAAACTGCAACTTGCACCAAGAGGGGGGTTGTTATTTTATTTTTACAACGCTAACACTTTAATGCATCACCAGGGGGCTTCTGTTAAATGTCCTTCTCTCTCCAGGAAACCCTTAAAATCCCTACGATGAATCTCGCCTTCCATTGTCTGATTAAAACTAAAACAAATATCCTGATGCAGAAAATCCTATGTTAAGTGAATTCTATGACACTTAGAACTCTTGAACTTCTACTTTTAAATATGAGGATTGTTTTGTTTTTAACTTTTTTAAATGTTTTTTTTTCACATGCAATTAAAACATCGCAACTTTTTTTCTCCACAGTTTGTGTGACGCGAGGCAGGACCCAGCAATGTCTCCTGGGCCACGTTGAAGGGTTACATCACGTCTGTGCTGCCGAAAGAGTCCAGCAAGTTACTTCTCCCTCTCTCTCTTTAATGCTCTCCAGACAATCAGATTCATTATTACATGCTATGTGTTCTGATGGTGTTCTGTTTGAAGTGGCCATGAAAGAGCCTTTTAAGAACCGTGCAGACTAGGTGGGCGGTGCTGTCTGCATGACTCACTTCTACATACATCAGGGCAAAGAAGCGATGGGTTTTAAGAAGCATTTCATTACGTAAAACTAAAAGATAAAACTTCAAATGATGCATGCTAACTGATTTATGACTCGGGAATATTCAAAACAAATGTGAAAAGAAACTCGTAAAACTCATGGTGATGTGCATTTTGCCCTGCTCGCAGGCTTCCAGGAGCTACTAACCTTTAGACTGATTGCTTTCTTACATTTGACAGATTGAACTGAAGGTTTGGGTTACAATCATAGGTACAGGCCGATGATAGTGGCTGCTTTGAAGAAAAAAAAACTACTTCAGAGCAAAAAGACTGTCAAATCTCAAGGAAACAAGTGTGACTAATTACACAATTTTTAGTTCTTTAGTCTCATCTGATTAATTCTTAAAACTTCTGTCCGCTCACAAAAAAATCTCTCTCTACTTTATGTTGCATCAAAGCAGTTTGAGAGATTATTCAACCAAATATATTTTTTTAAATGTCACGAAGGTTTTAGAAGTAATAAAAGAGTCTTTTCTGAATATTTTTGCAGTTTCGGCTGTGTAATTCTGAGCACTCTTACCACCCTTCCACACACCATTAATGAAGCTATAAAACACCCATAACCTCGGACTGTATATGACATGGCAGTGACAGGATTTTGATATAAAGTTAACATTGCTTCGTTTTGATCCAGCATTTAACCTGCTTTGCAGTTTGTAATATGTCCCTGTATACGTCTTTTCTCCCCATTCCCCTTCCTTAAGAACCACTTCTTGACAGTCACCCTTCCACTGAGACTGTTTCAGATAAGACAGGTCTCGTGTCTGGATTTCTTCTAAACAACACGGCTTTCATCTGCTGTAGATTTTTTTCCCCTCCACTTTCCCATTTTTTGGAAATCACCTTGCTGTTTCTTTTTTATGCCTTTTAAATTGCGTTATTTTTTGCTTTTATAGCTCAAACTAAATAAAATTAGGGGGAAATGTGTTTTTCTGACAGGCTGCTAGTAACAAAGTGCTTAAATATACAATTTAAATGGGTTTTTTTGCTAAGTTATCTGTTATGTGTAGACACAACACTGATTAACCCTTGAGTTAGGTGCTTTTTTATGCTTAAATGATTCATAGGTCAGTTTTAAGTGGCTTAGCAAACATGTAAAATGAGGAGAAAAGCGGCCAGTGTCCAAAAAAAGAACTATCTCTCAAGACCACCATAAAAGTTACAAGACAGTCAGGCTCCTTGGAAGCAAAATATAAAGAAATGACAGGGGAGTCCAGACTTTTCTGCAGTACTGTATCTTAAATAAGAATGCTAACATGCTTTTTTTCATGAATGCGTTTTATTGATATTAATATTTGTGCATTTATAATTACAGTTACAAAAAAGGAAAAAAGACAACATTTCTCTTGAAACAGTGACAGCAACTATGGCAGTTTCCCCTTACGCCTATTAGATCTACTGATGTCAAAAGGAATAGCATTACATATACTATACATTCGCTACTTTTGTACATCCATCGCCATGAGTCACACAAAGCGTATATTAAGCTGCAGGAACCAAGTACAGCATAGTTAAAAACAGGAAATGCGCTACAGCGTTTTTTTTATAAAATTATGCATTTCCTTTCGACAGTAATTCTCTACACACAGCAGCAAGTACATTTTTATACTCATCAGTAATCAAAGATAACAACACCTTAGACTTTCAGTAAGCCTGAGACATCCCGATAAGAGAAGAGTGGAAGATTTTGCTCCAAGAGAAATAATTTGCAATATACATACACAAACTTATCTGTTAGCTAAATGTGAAATTTTACATTTCATGAACTGTTTGCTCCAGATATTAAATTCTCCAATAATAAAAATGCCCCGGTGAGCTCTAACAGTGCTTACGGTGCCCACGATCTCTCACATCCTGTCTTCCTCTAATCTAAACAATTTGCTGCTGCTTTTCAAAAAAGGCTACTGACACACATAATTATAACAATGATCAAACCTATGTTAATTGCCTGCAATCATTCATATAGTAAAATAAAAGTTTATACAGTGACACGTGCATAAATGATTTGGAAACTCGTGAATATGGTAAGTACAGAATTTACCGACAAAGTTTCAGAGTACTGCGTATAATCAGGGCTATGATGACCTGAAAAAGTCCACTTAATAAAGATGCAAAGTGCGATTAATAAGCATCCAACTACAGCATCCTCTGTACAAAAAAAGCATGTGATGAAAGATATATAAGGTATTTTATGTTAGCAGAAAATAGCAAGCAGTGCAGTGTATCAGGAGCATATGCTTAGCCGGCAAAATATGACATGATAAAGGAAGTATTACAGCATCACCTCACTACATGGCTGTAGAAGCAACAAACCGAGATCCACAGAGGTATGACTGCGTAACCTATACAATGTGACCTTCACTTATTTCCATTTTCGCACTCAGCCCCTCCGATGAGTTGCATGGATAATAATGACTCCTGCATTAGTTACTACTCTCAATCCTATTTTCGCATGTTTAGCTGCCATCAGATGGCAGTACTGTCATATCACTGCAAACCACAAGGTTGGCTTGCTTTTAGAAACACTGGTGCATTCCCTCTGGCTGCTAAATGAAAAAAAAACAGCATATTTATAAACAGAAATAACATGTTTTCTGCCATGGTTGCGCACTATTAAGCTCTAATTAGAAATGATGCCTCCTCGACTTGAGAGACTGCCTCCTCTTCCTCTTCCTGTGGCACTGCTCTCTTCTCTCTGGCCAAGGGAACCCGCTCTCAGTGGTCCTGTAAGCCTCGTCGTACTCATCGCTGTCTGAATCCACCTCAGCCATGGGGAAGACTCTGCCTGGGAAAACTTCCTTCAGGTTGGAGGTGAAGAAGGCCTCGAGGCTGCGGCCTGCTTGGGCCACCTCAGAGTCAGGCTGCAATGACGGGGGGGGGCAGTAATTATAGTAAAGTAGTGACCAGTGATGATATCGAGACTGATGTATATACACAGAAACAAGCAGAATTTAGACTTTTAACTTACGTAATTGAACTTTGCACAGTTGCGGAACATGAGATACATGTCGGCCACAAACTCATCAGGTGAGCTGTAACACTGGGTATTCCCCTTGCTCAGCTTGGCCCTGATCACAGACAGGTCCATTGGCCTCTTGATGATCTGGTAGTAATGGCGTGCCTGTGTGAGAAAGCAGTGGCATTTAAGACTCTTATATTATCCCCCCAGCCACTTTGGTTCTCTAAAACCAATTCCAATTTAATTATCTCAGGAGCACTCTGCTCTTCAAAATGCATCACATTAATGTTGCATGAGCTCCATTATGTATCATTGTGACAGACGTGCTTCTACCTGTGCACAGGGTGCATGCTTGCATCGCAGTCTTAAACTAAGTTAGATACTCAAGACCTTTGATAGCATATGGTAACATGGAGGTGACCTGTTTCTCTGTTGAAGTTTTGTTTATGGGTTACAAAACAGCTTAAACACAGTGCACAATGAAATGTTGCATAAATAGATAAGTGTAAGCTGATTTAGGCATGAATGACAATTATAGAATGCCTCAAATATCATATAAAATGAGCTTCGTAAATACTTTATGAAGAAGAAAATGTATTCAGCACAATTTTAAGGCTCTAAGGATTCACTCACTTGGGCAAAAACTGAATGTGAGCAGAGCTGTGTTACATATAAAACCCATGAGGGAAACTTTAGACTGGTAGTAAAACTCTTAACTACTATGTGTCTGTAAGTATAATGAAAACATAAATATATTCTGCAAAAATAAATTAACTTTACTGTAAGAAAATGTTGATTAGCTTACGAGTGGACTGACGGGCTCTTGGAATGGCGCACTCAGGATGTTACTGAGGATCAGAAGTGTCAGCCGCTCACATTTCTGCAAAGATTCAGCCAAACATGAATGAAAACTGGCGCGACAGAAAGAGAAGGATCACAGTTAAAGAAAAACTAAAAAAAACATTAGTTATTGCCACATACATTTTTTATAGCCATTTTGATAAGTACGTAAAGACTCGTTAGTCATGATATTTATGGATATTTTTTTAGCATTTAGATGAACCCCCTCGGGTAATATGAGTGACAGCTGTGTTACCCTCTATAACATATCAAATTGACTGCTGTAAATAAGTTTGTTCTTATGAATTGACCTACTTTCTGGTCACATGGAGATAGCAAATTTGCTGATGCATTTTCTCCAGATGCTCTCTCATTGTCACCGTTGTATTCGACACCTTGGTGTAGAACATCTCTGCACAGGGTGCACACCCAGTCACCTCTGAATGAGGGAAGACACATTAGATTAGCAGTACCAGCTTTATGTAAACTGTTTAACAGGAGGTGTGAGGATTGTGCTGAAATTTCACGTGAGCTTACGAGGGGAAGGTCGGCAAAGGGGGGATATGGCAAGAGAGGTGGAAGACTTTTGGACAGCGATCACAGCATAGCAGGTCTCCTCCGATCAGACAAACGGCACAAAAATCCTCACTCTCCAACTCTGTGCTGTCTTGCTCAGTCTGGACTTCCTCTGTGTCTCCGGGAACAACGGGATTTGCAATCAGGAGCGGCCTCTGACCTGGACCGATCTCCTCATCCAGGTCAGAGCGAAGCGGTTGCGGGTCATCGGTGGTCAGCTCGGGTTCAGAGTCTACATCGAGCTCAGATGCCACAGAGCCCTGAGAGTCTGGAGGCTGATCGGAGACCACGTCAGAATCAGTCTCGCCCTGAAAAGTGGGGTCGTATACAGGCTGGATGTCGGACTCCGTTTCAGCATCACCTGATTCTGTATCTGCATCCAACCCTCGGCCGTCTGGTCCCGCATCTGATTCTGGATCTGCCTCATACTCCAGACTTGGCTCTGAGTCGCCACACAGCCCCATCTCTGCAGACTTCTGCTCAGCTCTACACTCCAGTTCAGCCTCAGATGAAGACGGTGCATTCGGGTCAGAATCTGGTGATGCATCTGAGTCAAGCTGTGGGTCTGAATCAGCCTGAGAGATGACTGCTTCCTCTGACACTGACCTGGGATCAGAGTCAGAATCCAGATCCAGTTCATAGAAACTTGGTGCCACATATTCAGAGTCAGCGGAGAGCAGTGTGGATTCTTTACGAGGAACAGGTACCCCTATGTTGCTGTCGCTGCAGTCTGATTGTGCGGTGGACTCATTACAAGTTTGTCGCTTTGGTGCTGCAAGCACGCGGGTGGCCCCACTAGTCTCAGATTCTCCTGTTATTCCCTGTGTTTACCAGAGAAGAGAAAGGAAGGGATTTTTTTCATATTACAGTTTAATCTCTTAAAACCCTCATGCATAAATACTACAGAGGACAGCAGCTAGCCAGGGTCATCCTAAATTACCCCTAAAGCTTACTAGCCAACACACTTTAGCCATAACCAAGTAAACAAATGAAATAAATGATGTGGTGACAGCTAATTATATGCCTGCTATGGTGCTTCTAACTCTTTAAACCCTAACCTAATTTACCCTTTAAACCAGGGGTGGGCAACTCCAGGCCTCAAGGGCCAGTGTCCTACAGGTTTTATGTGTATCCTTGATCTAACACAGCTGATTTAAATGGCTAAATTACCTCCTGAACATGTCGTGAAGTTCTCCAGAGGCCTGGTAATGAACTAATCATTTGATTCAAGTGTGTTGACCCAGGGTGAGATCTACAACCTGCAGGACACCGGTCCACGAGGCTTGGAGTTGCCCACCCTTGCTAAAAATGCTAACCGTGACGGGTTAGGGTTTAAAGGGTTAAAACATCTCCCTTCTTGTTTTGAATGAAACAAATGCACCACACCTGAGGGAGGGTTTCGCTCTTATCCGTCCCACTGGCAGGTAGAGGGTCACTCTGTCTTCGTCCGTGTGGTGGGAGCTGAGACACGAGTATTTTGAGACGCTCGAGGCAAATGACTGGAACCCTGGGCCTTGCAGAGTCGTTCTGAACATCACTATTAATTTAGAGGGATGTAAAAATAGGTTAACAAGCTGTTTTCATGATTTGTGCATGGACTGATCTTTCATTTTTTTAAGACAATACATACCTGCTGTTGCTGTTACTTGAGAAGCTGCATTTCTTGTTGGCATCAAAACCAATCTCTTCATTTACGTAAGTGATGGGGTGATCTAAAAAGTATGAAGAATTCAAGCAGTTGAAAATGTGAGGTGTTTTTTTTTTATTGACTATGTAAGAAAAAAAAATCTCTGAGTGTTTTCAACCACCTGGCTCTGTCTTATAGGACATTAAAGGAGGTTCAGTTGAAGTTTCCTTGGCCACACAGAGCACCCCATCTGATGCTCTCCTCTGTCTGGGATCCAGCACGTAATACTGAAATCAGAATAAGCATTAAGTAAAACTCTTTTAATAATGTACACTTTTATTGATCCCCATGGGGAAATTCTTCTCTGCATTTAACCCATTCACTCAGTGAAACAGTGGGCAGCCACCAGGGAGCAGCGTGTGGGGATAGTACCTTGCTCAGGGGTACCTCAGGGTAGCCGTTCAGGGGATTCAAACCCCTGACCTTCCGATCATGGGGCAACCACTTTACCTACTGAGCTATCCCTGCCCCATCAAGAAATAAAAAACTCCAGCACCATCTTAGTCATTAACTCCAGCAGCAAAATATGCTGTTAAACCAAATAATGGCTCCTGCAGGTTTCTACAAGCACGCGATTTTTCAAATGACAGAAACTGTCAAAAATGATTGGAAAAATGGGCTCCTCATTCCCTCGCTTATCTCCTGAGAAAACTGTTCAACTAAACGCCTCACAGATTTTATTATTTTTTCCTTTTTTACAAGAGTACTGCACAGATTTAGTATCGCACTCTCTGTCAGACGTTGGGAATTTAACTATTAAAACTGATTTAGCAGAACCATCGTTTTGTATTCTTTCTCCCTTGCTCATTTTCATTCTCCCGCCTTATCAAATTGAGCACCTCCAATATATGCATAGCACCAAATCAGAGGTGTGGGTGCACCGTGCCAAGAGCAGCTGATTTCGCCTAAGCTGCTAGGCTCAAGCAGAGATGAGAAGTGGGCTTTACACGTGCACAGGTGTGCTAAGCTCACTTCTTTCTAACTCTGCATTCCTTTTATCCTGCTCTTTCTGCACCTCCAGAAGGCTTTGCTCTTTCTTCACATGGCAGATGAATTCTTAAAAGTGCTTGAAAAACAGCAAACTAGTGACAACTGAGCATCTTAGTCCATCGATGCAAAGTGGATCTTGGTATTGTTTTCGCCTCTAGTTAGTTTTGGAGTTACAGTTTTTATTGTGGAACTGTGTATCACCAGAGATGACAGTGCTGAACACACATGTGGCGAGTGCACCTCCTAACTGTGATCAGTCCTATTCTCCCTGACAGCTCAGCCTCCCCACGTGCAATCATATTCTGATGCGGGGTTACCTTATTTGCAGCTCCCGCTTCTAGGCTACAAGCCCATCCTGTGGGCCTTTCGGCGTAAGGGCTGGCGGACGGGGCTGCCAGTTCTGTCGGGATGCTCTGGGAGCGCCTCTTCCTCCTCGAGCACACCGAGCCAGTGCTCAGCCTGCTGCTATTCTGCACATCAGACACACACTCGTGGGCTGTCACTGTCACCTCCAGGGATGTGGATCTCTGTCAAAAAACATAAATATATCCACACACACAACTGAGCTGGGGTTTCAAGCAGCCTTGCATGCACAGGTGCACCTGTTCATGCCATTAAAAACTGAAAGGAGACAAAAAAAAAAGTGGATGGACACACACGGGCACACACCAAATGAACAAAAACATCACTCAGAGCCTATTCAGGGAACACCTCAATCCTTACAAACATGTTGAATATATTAGTGTTATTGTTGGAGCAATGAAAGCTTTGGATATCACACCAATTATCATATGTAAATTCAACCCGAGAGCTACAGTGTGGCCCTTTGATTAAGCCACCACTCTCACAGTTTCTCTCATATATTACAGTTTACTGATCCAAGTCTTCCAAAAGGTTTTTTTAAACACTTTGGCTTGTGTCTCTTTTTCCGGTACACCATCACACATTTTCAGGCCAGGCTGACACCAAGCACATGCTCCTTAGTATCATGCGATTAAAACACTCACCTGATCTATGCCCCCTGGGAAACGTATGCAGGATTCAGGCTGTAGAGGAAAATAGACTATAATCCTTCTCTCTGGAATCACGGAGGGGTATGGGAATTTATCTCAGTGCAAACCAGAACTAAAAAACTGGCAGCTCACACTATTCCCTCAGCGACTCATTAATGACAGGTTAAGTACACAAATGACTGTGCCCAAGTGGCTTTATATCACTTTCAGATGCTGTGACTTGAAAATGTAAAAATAACATATCTTTGTGGTAGTAATCACCCATCTTGAGAATTTTTAAAGAAGGGCGATTATGCGGCTGCTAAAACCCCTGGCATCACGAGTGATTATGATGAACAGCGAGCTCCTGGATTTAAGCATGCATTGAAGTGCTCGGCTATAATTGTCAGAGCAGCTCTTTTGTTTTCCCATCATCCCTTCTTTTTGAAAGCAAGAGCAGCTTGCTGTTGCGCCATCTGTTTTTGAGGCTAGCTGTCAGCTGTGGGAAGTGATCATTCTGGCATTAATATAAAGTGTTGCTTTTGGTTTCAATTGTTAATGGATATTAATTAAAACTGAATGCCGCCTCAAACGCTCCAACACTCGTCTACATGTCAATATTTTAAAAATATACAATAGCCCTTTCAAAACGCGTAAATCGCGGCTCTCCGAGCTTTTCATTCGACTTAAACGTCCCGTCATTAAGCAATTTCTAATGCAGGCTTTGGTGCCTTTGTGTAAGCAAGTGTTTGAACGTCTTTGTTTTCACAGGAAATAGGCTTGACCAAACAGTAGCGGGTTCTGAGAGGCACATATAAACAGCTTTGTGTGGTTTACCATAGCAGGGTTAAAAACTTCGCTTGAGCCTCTAGAAACTTTGCAGAACCACGTGTGAAGTGAAAAACCGAAGGCTGAGGTGCACAAAAATCCCACCGCATGCCTCGCTTTCATCTGAGGGCCAACTGTCAAACAATGTTCGCAACTCTGCTGCTTTTAAGAAGCTTTATGAAGCTGGATTTAAGCAGAATTTTCTTGTTACAACGAGGAGCGTACAAGAAGCACACTGTACATAAAACGCTATTTTTAGCTGATCGGCTATTCTCAAGGTGTCGTCATGTTTGATTTGGCAGATTTCTATGTTGGTCGCCCTTCCTGACACGACAGCAAAGAGATTTCTGTTTCATTTGTATAATCTTTTGCTTTAACACACATTTTTTGTTTGTTGTCTTTTTCATCTTGTTTTTTTAATATATTGTAGCTTCAGCTCTTTTTTTTAATGCATGTGCATATGGGTATATATTATATTGCAATATCCTCTGTTGGTGAGGTTCCATTTTTAGCTTAATTTCTCACCCTGGCATCTCTGTGGTCTTTGACGGTCAGTGCAGAGTTGGTCCTCTTTTGCTCTTTTCTCACACCTGATAAACACAGCAGCAGCTGCTGCTGTTGGACAGGACTCTGCACCCTCCTGCCCTGTTGTAGCTCTTGATCCAACATCTCCCTCCTTTCAGCAACCGCTATTTGTCCACAGGTCTCCTCCACACGATGCGTTTCCACCCGGTTCTCTTCACTCATTGGATCCCTTTCCAGAGCCGTGTAGCTGAGCTCCTGTTGCAGAGATCTGCTGGTCGATAGCTTCCCCCGACGCCGGTTTGGTCTCCCACGCTCTGCACTTAGCCGAGCCTGGGTATTTGGAAGAACTTCTTTGCGGTGTTGATGATGAGAAAGATAGGACTTAGACTGAGAATGTGGTTGTGAGTCAGCAGCTTGTGGCTGAGATGCAGATGCTCGGCTGCGGCTGAGCTGATTGTGCCTTCTGTTTGGGACAGGTGATGCAGGTGGAGGACGCTGCAAGGAACTCTCCTGGTCCCAGAACCTCTGGATCTGCTGGTTCTGGTGCTGGGAAGCAGAAATATGAGCCGGCTGAGCACAGCTGGAGTTATAAAGTGTGGTGTCCAGCTGGCTTTTGTCCAGACTGGGAAGATCTGGCTGCGAATGAATGCCATGAAGGCAGCACATCTGAGGCTCACAGCAGGCTTGGTACCCACAGCCCGGCTCTCGTCCTCTGTGAAACACTGGTGGCAGAGTCAAGCAGGTAATGGGCTGGGGTCTCATAATACTGGAGCAGGCCAACCCTGGGGGATAAGCGCAGTTTCCCCCCTCAACAGTCAGCTGACCTGCAGAGTAACAGAGTCACAGTGAGAGCCCGGTTTCAGAGATAGTATTTCACATGTCATGCATCAAAATAATGCTGATTAATTATCAAACAGATATACATAGTTACGGTTCCTTTTGTGCCTACTTAACTTTTTTTTTTGAGTGAGGAGGTTTCTCCTAGAAAAACATGTTCTTAAAAAAAAGTCTTCTTGCATTAACGGATTGATTTTTACCTAAACAGGAAATTTGTTTCGTCCAGTAACTAGCATCCCAGTTGAATTTTATCTTCACAGGACTCCAAGAATCTGAGTGGTGTGACGCCTCAAGCAGCTGCTGCATCTGGAGTGAAATCTGCAGGAAAGGAAATATGAAAAAGATGAAAGATCAACTTTATTCATTTAGGGTCAAATCACAACAACAGTCACCTCAAGGCACTTTAGATTGTAAAGACCATTAAATGATAGCGAGGAAACCCCAACAATCAGACAACCCGCTGTGAGCAAGAACTCGGTGACAATGGGAAGAAAAAACTCCCTTTTAACAGGAAGAAAACTCCAGCATATATTTGTAGATGATTATGCATTTCCTTTGTTCCTTTCACTAAAAATATGTCATTCAGTTTTTTATAATAAACTAAATCAACACAAGGGATAAAACATGCTTGTTAAAGTGGACTTCATATAAAGGTTTTTATGATAGGGCAAGAGGTGGACTACACTCAAGACAGATTTCCAGTTGATTCACATCCATGAGCTGATTTAGAGGCACCAGTTAACCCAAAGAGCATGATTTGGACTGGGACAAATGCGAAAAAGTGATGCGGTGGGCAGCTTGAGGTCCACGCACAAGGCCCCAAGCTGCCCACTACACCACTACGTGACAAAAGAGTCAGTGGACAGATGTGTCTCCATACAAATCATGAGACCAGAAAGACAAATGGATGCAAAGTAAGTTTAAAAGAACACTTAAGTGGTTTAGTTTGGACTTCCACAAAGAGGCGAATCTCCCAAAACAGTGGATCCTGCACTGCTTATCATGCAGCTTTTCTATTTTTAAACCCCACCTAACGGGTAAATGTCAAACTCCAGGCTGCCAGTACAGAGCACACGGAGCCTTCTTTCTTTCTCATGCTGAACTAAAGCCAGCAACACAACTTCAGCAATTTTCTCAGGCTTCTCCTTCAAAAAAAAAGTAATCTCTAGCAAACTGACCTTCAAGTACAACTGGAGTTCCCCTTTAAATGTAAATGTGTGGCTTCTTTTTCAAAGACGATAGAAAGAGACTTCACACTTGTTGTTCTACTTTACAAGAAATTAATTATCACTTCTCTCACAGGACCGGACTTTGTGTGTGTGCGTGTGCATGTGCGGGACGACGTCTGTTAACTGTCTCATATGCATACCAGAGCTCTGCTGAAGAGCACCGGGCTTGTGCAGTGATGGGTCATAGCCCAGGTGATGAACTTCTGAATATGGTCCAGCTGGCCACATATCTCTATTGCCCCTTGCAGCTGGTCCTCCAGACGCTGCTGGAAGCCCTCTGCAATCTTCTGCAGAAAATTAAAAAAAACAAATGTAAACATGAAGTTTTGTGTCCTTACTTGCAGAAGGCAAGCCTTGTGATTGGACTGCAGGTTAATCAACAGACAGCTTTTGACAGATGTAGGTGCTGGGATGTCGGTTTAAGCAGCTGCGACAGCTTATCACGAGCTAGCGACGGCATCGTGGCAGTTACAGATTCTTTGCGTGTAGATTCGTGGCCGGCAAGATGATTAGATGGAAAGAGAAAGTAATTACCTCCAGTTGCTCTATTAATAGGTTGGCTCGTTTGTTAAGCTCGTTCATCATAATCATCTTTGCCATTTTAATCTGGTTCTCTGCCTTCCTGTGTGCAATCTTCACTCCGTGAAGCCTGGAAAGACAGAAAGGGGGCAAATGTCTCAGTCCCTCCCTAACCCACCATTTGTGGGCAAAGTTGCTCAGAAATTGGATTTTAATGACAGTGTGGATGAAAACCAACCTCTCCTCTATTTGTTTAGCGCTGTTCTCCACTGCAGACCTCTTCTCCTCCACCTGAACCATCAGACTCTCAAACAGCCACTGCTGATCCTGTAGGGCCTTTCCGATCTGCACCACCCTAAACACATGAGAGATCACAGCATCCACCAGAAAGTTCACTAATTTATTCTTTGAGCATGACGAACACCAGAATTGAATTTGTTTCCCCCGAGGACAAGACATTATGCAGGTGACCTTCGCAGCACCTCCTGCTTTCTAACATCACAGAAAACAAAAAGGTATGAATACTTAATGAATGTTAGGCTGGCCAAGGGTAGTGTATGCAGATATAGATGATAAAACTGACAAGGCAGTTAAAGAGTGTTACTGCTCACAGGAAGTTTTTTTTTAACCTGTGGTTAGCCCTTCTCGGCAGTGTCCTTGTGCTGTGCATCTGAGGACTGACCTGTGGTTTTTGTGGGAGGACAGGTGACAGCTGCTACAGCACAGAAGGTCACATGACTCGCAAAAAAGCTCCAAGGGCTCCTGTCTGTGAGAGTGGCACATGAGGAGGGACCAAGGATACGACCCCGGGCCTGAACGACATACAGAGAGAGGAGGGGGAGGGGGGCAGAGCAGCAGTCAACAGGCAGTTCACAGTCAGGCCCACAGCACGCAGCATTAAAGTAAACACATTAGAAGAAAAGAAAGACTTGCAGTGTCATCAGCCTGTTTGCTCAAAGTTTGCTCAAATGGCATGCAGGATCACATGACAGCCTCTAACTGTCTTCTTGATAAGTTATGAACACTTTTTATTATTCCAAAGTGTCTTTTAATGTCATCAGTATAGGACAGATATGCTGATGTGAAATACTTAAAGAGCTGTAAATCCTTAGAAGTCGCCTCTAAAGTGCCATGCTGACCAGACCAAGCCTCAGTTCTTTAAGTTGTTTATTCTCCTGCTAGCTAATGGTCTGAATATAAATTCTACTTGTAACTTATACCTGGATTCTTTTTCTTTTTTTTTAAATGTTGAAAATAAAAGTCAGTCAGTGCTCTTACTGTTGCGTTAAACATACATGAAAAGAAACTGAAGAAAACTGAAGAAAACTGTTACCAGTTTTGTTGACAAGCATTATTAAAGCTGACCTAGTGCTACACTTTAACACCAAAATAATGTTGTGGCACCCGAAGGAAGCTGAGGTTGCAATTGTATGTGTTAAAGTGTTTAGTGACAAAGATGTCAGTGTTTCAGCTGCTGTCCAACTGGCTTTTGAAGTACCATTAGCAACATCTCACTTTTAATACACACGCTCTAAAGTGCTTCTCACCTGTACCTCTCTCGCTATATAAGAAGCTTTTGGCACACAGAAAATCCATCTAACATTAGCTGGATAATGCTAATAAACGTACCCTACTGCTCTCTGGTGGCCGGCTCACCTCAGCCAACCCCCCTCCTGCCTGCAGATCATCAGAGATCTCTGTGGTAGAGAGCTGAGCATCACCTTGTGTGCATCAGCCTGATCTGACTGACCACATCCTGTCTATCAGCGCTGTCACACGGTTTTTCTCACAAGTACACAAACCAAATGCTAACCCTCCCACATCACAATAATGCTGTCTGGGACGTGCTCATTATGATTTGACAACTTGTGCAAAAGCAGCTGGCAACAAAGCTGCCAAACATACGCGATGGGCTTAAAATAGCAAAACACTAATATTAGCAAAAATGAAATCATCCGAGCACTGAGACACGTGTTAAAGACAGGTGCATAGAAATACATGCAGCTATCATGCATTAATCATTGCAAAAAGACACCAGTCCTGCTAACTATATAATAATGTGTTATACAAGTCTGTAAAGCCAACAAATCAAACTAATGTCTTGCCTTGTCCAGTAGGAGGCAGGGAGCTGGAGCCCCTCTGGTGCAGTTCTGGGAACTGGGTGGCACTGGGCCTCTGTTGCTGGTGTGATTCCATGTACTGGGAAGTGTTGGGGGTTCTCAGATGCTGGTGCACATCTGTGCACTGGTAACACAACCACTTGTTGCAGAGCGTACACAGACTCTGTGCAAGAGTCGGCTCTGTGCACTCTGAGCAGCTCTGAAAGAGAAACTTTGCCTTAAGTCATACAACGAATACACAAACACATGACAATGTGTTAAAAAGATGGGGTGGCACATGACATGTCAGAAAAAATTGTGCTGCTGCTTCATTTAAGGTGGAATCACACTTTAAGGAGCTGTTATGCGTTTGCATGCTTGCAAATGCCTCCGAGAGTCTTTGTAGAGCGACTCGTGTGGATAAATATAAGTACCCAACCAAGAGATTATCTAACACAATAAAATATCTAACACTGAAATCTAAAAAAGCTGGTTTTCATCAATAAAATGTTCAAATGCTCTCTCTTGTTTATGTCGTCTTTAGTTTCAAAATAAAAGCACAGAACCTATAAGAACAAAGCACTTTCACTTTTATTAATGTATCCTTGCCAGGACATTTGTCATCTATAGTTGATCCTGCCTAATTTTGGAGCCGTGAACAGCACCTCTGGGATAAAATCCGCTTTTGAAACTCTAGTCCAGAGACAACAGTAGGAGTATTCCAAACATCTAACAAGACTTTTGGGTTGAGAAGAGGGCAACACAAACATAAGAAACATGCCAGCTTTATACAGAAAGTGCACGGTGCACAAAATACCACATGAAAGAAATATAATTTCCTGTTGTGTCAAAAAAGAAATTAAAGATAGGAAACAAGATTCAAAAATGCGACAACTTACCTTCTCCATTTCCGTGCTTTGCGAGAGGATGTGTTGCCTTCTCAGCGGGAGGGAGTGAAGAGGAGAGGGAGAAAGAGAACTGCCTGACGCCTCAGCAGCAGAAACACTGAGGCTTCTACCTGAGGCAGGAAGCAGTGTACACCGAGAGGTGGCCCCAAAGGAGGCGGCTTACATGACAGGCTCACTGTGCTCTCTCCTCCCCCAGATCATCCAAGTGTAGGACCCCTCACTGCAGACGAGGAGAGAAGTGTCATGTTCATATTCATTCACTGCTCGCTGGTGCAGCCAACAAAAAAAAAGGGAGGGAAAATCTAATCCTTTTTCTTAAATAAGCCTGTGCATAATAATTGGGAATTAGGGAGATAACATAATTATTTTTTGTAGGGCAAAATATCCCCGGAAGCCTTTCCAAATTAAAGGAAGGAAGACCAAGTGACCTACAATGAGCAGGGAAGGAGAAATTGTAATGCAAGCACCTTTAGGTTCTTTGCAGCAGGCAGGATTAGGTGATGCAAGGCTGAGGTTTTGTCAGGCTAAGTTGAGCTGGGCTAGGATGGGCCAGCTGTGGCCTTCTTCCCTTCGTCAGCACGAGGAGGGGACAAGTCCCAGAGGGGCTACACTCTAACGTAGCTCACGGAAACGGGGTCAGGCTCTGATGGGACTAGGATGCACTCCTGCTATTCCTTCTAAAACTACAAAATCAATCAGGACGTTAAAATGAACAGAGCACTGTAAAATGAAAGTAAAGAAGTACAGATGTGAACACAGAAAATATAAATATAAATATAACACTTCCATGTCTTTCAAAGATACAGTTGCAAGATAGTGTAAAAGCAGAGAAACGAAACCAAAGAAGAGGTTACTGCTTAAACCAACCAAAACTTAAAATAGTTCCACATCAAATACCCAGAAGCTTTGAATTAAACCAATGTGGCATCTGGACCTATGAGAAAATCTGCCTAACAACAACCCTTTACAGTCTGACCTAAAAATCTGACAACTTTCTCATCCTTGGATACTTCAGCGGGGGAGCTCAGAGCAATCCCATTCCCCATTGTGAACTCAAAGACCCAATTTGAAACACAATTAGCCAGTCGTGGTGCACCCTGTGTCTCGTTCACTCAGTTCTGTAGCATTTTCAAACTGCGCACTCGCTTTCTCTGCAACCTGCACAGCGTTTATCGCTCACGTTGAAACCTCCCGCCAGCTTCCCTGCTCTGCTAAGCTGGCACTAGATACGCATACCATCTCCGGAGACGTCACAATTATAGAAACCTGCGCTATGATCTCTCCCTTGAAAGCACCTCCCGAGTAACATCTATTAACCCTGAGGTGATGAGGTCACAGAGAAAGCGGGATTATCTTCAACCACTCTGAAATTATCATGCTGTTTTACTATTCCTCCCTTCAAACAACTCACTGTTGCCAAATCCATGAACAGGAAAGAAACGTCTTCACTTTTCACTCATCAGATGTTAATCAAGCACAAAGTCTTCCTTCACAAAAGGCATCACATGTGACAAAAACATCCCGACCTTCTAACTCAATTTAATTTAAAGATAGAAACAAGTCTTAAACACATATTTTCCACATCATGTTTATCTTTTGAATGTGGGCTAGTTGAACCGGTATAGCTGATAGGCTATAAAATAACATGACATTTATTTTCAGTGTTATTTATTTTAAAGGGGTGTTTATAATTTTTTTGTCACCAGGGGGCAGAATAAGCAGGCAGACGAACAACTCTCACATATTATTGCTCTTTAGCTGCAATGGCTACCTTCTTAATAAACTACTTTCCACATGTACTAACAACACAATTTAATATTCAAATGTAATATTACTGACATCGGTTCAGCCTCAGCATGTAAGCCATAAATCCAAAAACACTGAACTAGCAAAAGACTCATAAAGCTGCACAGTAAAAATTCCCAGTTCGTCATTACACTGGCAATACTGTTGATATTACAGGTAGTCTGTAATTAAGTGTTCTGTGCAAAACTCCTGAACCACCCCTCAAGGGGTGAACCTGTGTTGTGTTTACATAACAGGCAACTTAGCAAAGAACCAACAAGGTGATTCTCAAACAGCTATTAGCCAAAAAACTGGCAAAAACCATAAAATCTACAGCAGATGAACAGTATCTGAAAGTCATGTCCTTAAGAAACAGGAAAATATCCAGCAAAGCAAAGCCTCATCAGAAATGAGCTCAGTAGAAGCATGTCATTTTTAAGAAAGGAAAACAGGGAGAAATGAATGAGGTATACCAAATTATACAAAACTGTGCTGAAAATCAGTGGCAACAGGTCTTATGGAGTGATGAAATTTGAAATTTATAGTCCAAATATTGTCAATAGGCATAGTGGAGATCAAGAGAGACTTACTACAGTGAGTGTCTAGAGCCATCTGTAAAACACAGTGAAGGCTCTGTCAGATTTGATGGGATTATGAATGCAGAAAAGTACCATCAGATTTTAAACCACCATGCAGTACCATCTGATTGGCAACAGCTTCGTAGCTCAGGATGACAATGCAAACCCTTTGAGCATACCTGGATAGAAAAACATACGACTGAACACTGTCAGTCATGGACTGGCCTCCCCAGAGCCCGGGCCTCAACAACAGCAGTGTGAGATCATCTTGACAGAGAATGAAACAAAAGGCAGTCAACATCCAAAGAGAAGCTTTGAATCTTCAATCCTTATGAAACCTGTAAAACTATTCCTGAACACTAAAGGAATTGTAATTACACTAAATTACAAGAAATCGTCCCTAAGAGAGTTCAGACTGTATTGAAAAAGAAAGGTGGTCATGCCAAATATTGACTTTCAAGCTTGTTGAAATTGTAAAAGCTCAGTTTTTTGCTTTTTTTTTTTTTTGCATGTGTTTCAATAAATCATTGCACCTATTTCCCATTTTCCTACCAAAATATAAAGAAAGGAAGGGTAGCTTGAGAATTTTGCACAGCACGATAGGTTAACCACTGCATTTCATTTATAGTAGTACATGCTACAACATTAATATATAATAATATATATGCAAAACATAAAATAATATTGTATTAAAATTTGTTAACTATAGGGTGCTGCAGCTCTGCAGCACTAAGGATGCTGGGAGCTGCGGTCCTCTAGCAGGCTTCTCAAATGCTAATTTGGATTTACATTAAACTACATTTCTTTACATTGAAGCAAAAGAAAACATTTGAAATTAAACTTCACTGAAAAAAGTATAATATTAATATAATATTCATAGCAAAACTTACAGAATAAGGAGCTCAATTCACGCAATAAATAAGAGGAAAAACATATCGAGAAGTTCATCACAGCCAGTGGCCTCTAAAACGAAATTGGCCTATATGAAATCCAGAGCCGTGCAGAAGTTATTTTATGTGAGTCAAGTCACAGGACATGCCACAAACTAAACAAACAAAAAGTTTCTGCACACCACTAAGTCATGGGGTGTATAATTGTGAAAGAATCAATTTTTTACCCTCTTTATCTTATCGAGGCGTTAAAAAAATTAGTTTTAGCTTAATAATAAATACAAGTTCATCAAATTATTGCAATGAATACCTGTTTAGTGTTTAGGTTACATTATGACTGAACTGTAAACAATGTAAAACAGCACATCCGTATCTGAATAGCACCCAACCCTTGTGGGAAACTTACATTAAGCGTGAACAGTAATGTGTAGTTTTTGTATTAGCCCACTGCATAAGGCTGTGGGAATTCGGGATTTCCTGTGATTTTCCTTCTGGCGTATTACGCGTTCGGCTACCTGTTCCATCTGTTTATGGATGTGCTGTCAGCACCTTATTAAAGCTTCTTCAAATAACAACAGCAAGCACGTCAGAGACATCGCAGAGTACCTGCCCCTTCATCCACAGCCTGCCTCTGCATCAGCAGCCAGCGCATCACTGAGCGTGATATTATTTTTTAGAAAGTGCGCATGAGATTCCGCCCCTATCATGGCATCATGGTGCAATCCACAACACAGAGAAGGACAGCACGCAAACACAAAGTAAACACACGGATACTTTCCACCACTAAGCAGCTACAAACTGTGCCTGTGTACAAATCAAATCCCCTCACGAAGCGCACGGCTCGTGCAAAACATCCTGTCAGGTAAACATCAGTGTGCGCGCGTGTGAGGATGTCACAGTGTTGTTTTTGGTCCGGAGGAAACGAGACTGTCTGCCGAGAAACTCCGCTTCTGTCAGCCTGCCCATCACATCTTGTGCCCTGCGTCTGCACAAAGAGAGTTTATCCTTTCTTTTTCTTTTTTTCTTTTACCTTGACCCGAGCATCTCCGAGTGTTGATCCCCCTTCGGATGTCGCTCTTTGGCCCGGACAAAATTTTGGAGATTCCAAGTCTCGCAGTTAATCGTGAGATTTTATAGTCCTGCAATACTTCTGACGTTTCTCAAGGCTGAAGTGTGACACTTGGCGAGAAGACTGCAAGTTTACAATTAGAGCCCACCGTCACTGAGCGATACAAAATATTAACGTGTAATACCTTTCGAAACTTAAATGCAAAATTATGTATAAACACGTAATTACAAAATTACAAACAAATCATCAACGTGACCAAAATTTAAAACTCCACATTTTTCTGAAAACGGGAATCGTGTGTCAATTTCTGAGTAAAAAAAAAAAGGTGCAACAGTGATAAAACATTACGCATTTTATCGCCGAGTTACTGCAGCATCATTTCAGCTGTTAAATTTCGGAGATTAGCTGGAATTCATAGTTTAATTGTGTTTGGTCTCTGAAGCGTTTTGTAACTATGTTTTTTTAAAGTGTTGTGCATTATCATTATAAAACATGATAGCGTTTTAAAATCAAGCAAGCATCTGAAAATCATAGATGACTTTAGTGCCTGACTAAATGTACAGAAATTCAGCGGACATGTGAATGGTTCATTTAAAATCTCAACACTCACATCAAACATCAACATCAGGAACATGTATGACTTTAAAAGTCATCTAGTTAAAATAAAATAAAGATATGGAATACTTTATTATTAAAGCAGTGAAAACATTCAAATATTTCTTTTTTAAATCAGTCAAGCGAGTGAAGCCGGCGTTCATAATGGTCACAAATAGAACATTAAAACATTTTTCTTAGACAGCTTAAAGAAGTAGCAGGTATATTCCCAATTTAAGGCATCACTCTACACACTCATCCTTTCCTGGTCTTGAATTATTGATACTATAATCTGCAGGACCGTTTTACTGCAGCCACTTGGCCAGTTTACCCCATTTGCCCTGCTGATGTGGGCAATGTAGCAGCACATATCCTTGGTGTCCGCAAGTTAAAGTACAGCCATAATTTTAGCAGTATGTTGGTGGTTTTAGGACCTTATACTTTTACTTGATTTTTAAATTTGATACTTCTTTTGAGTATGTCTTTATGCCACTGTAGCTGCAATCAATTTTAAAGGAAATTATTGCACCTTTTACTTTTTTCCTAGACATATTTCAGATGAATATTAGGAAAAATCTATTTAAAAATAAAAAAGATGTTTAAGTAACAGAGCCACCAACCTAAGAGTTGGATTCAGCTGCAACATTTAACTTCCTGACATATTTTGGGTTTCATTCTGTTTATTAAGTGTTGCATGCTGTGTTAAGCAGCTTTGACTTTATTGTGCTACGCTGTAAAAGAAAACCAATATCCTCATATGAGGAGATACTTCTTTTTTCTTTTTACGTAAACTTCCTGTTCAAAGAGGAAGTTTACAGAAGTTAACTAGAAGAAATCAAAATACAATCTCAGGTCACAGGAAGTTAAAGTGGTAAGAAGCTGTAATGTCAGCTGGACTGGGGGATTTTAAAACTCCCAGTTATTACACCTATGAATGATAATATTCCACAGTAAAATATTAAATACTAGTACTTGTGTGTATTTGTTTGTTTGTTTGTTTGGTTGCTGTGACCTATTGACCTCTTGTATTAATTCCCTCCTATCTTTCTATTGGTGTCTTTTATTATGGTGGTACAGCTTTTATCTTGCTATTACCCATGTGCTGTAGTCATTCTTATTGGTAGCTTTTATCTATGAACATAACTCGTTATTTTTTATTTTTTTTATCCGTTATCAATGTTTGAACCTTTTATTGTTTTATGTAAAGCACTTTGGTATGCCCAAGGCTTTTAAATGTGCTCTATAAATAAAGATTGTTGTTGTTGTTGTTGTATTTACTACATTCTGAAAGCATAATTGTAGGTTCACTGTTATTATAACTTGATTTCACAACTTTTGCTCAAGCAAAAAAATTCTTTCATGGCCAGCTCTTTATCCGAAAGTCTCTGCACGACCACTTCACATCAAATGTCACTCTTAACTGCGATAAAGACACTGGCAGGAGAAAAGCACCACGGCACCTGGAATCAACAGCGAGCCGCTCAGTTAGGAGAGCTAATAACAGCGTGGCAGCGACAGCCACCGGAGTGATGTGCACAGACGTAATTAGGTTACCAGCAGCATGTGGTAGCCGGTGTTAGACTACTGCGCCTTTTGGGATCTTACCAACCTAATACACAGCTTTGGGAGAGGCTGTCATTGAGATGTCAGCGATAAAAGGAGGTGAGTTTTCATCATCAGGCAAAATGTGAAATATATGTCTATGTCTGACTGGGAAGTCTGTACTGCTTTGGGCCTTGTTTTGATAATGAACGAATACAGTTTAATAAGGTTAAAGAATAAAGAATAGAATAAAGTTTAAGTTCAATGCTTACACTTGGACACTGAAACAATTTTAATGATCACTTTTAATAAAAGACTGTAAAAATCTCCAGGAAGAGTTCAAACCATCTTCTTCATTGTATTGCATGTACAGTTTTTGAATAAGCTTTAGGTCAAACAGAGAAAAACACTGTCGTAAAATAATGCAAAAAGGAAAACATATCTGTACATCTACGCCCTCCTGCAACCCATTTCAAGTCACATACACTCACAAACTCCGATAACACTCTTCACAAGCACGACTAGACATCAGTGGTTACTCTACGACTCACATGCTGTGTACCGTCCTGCTATTGCTATCTCATACTATAAACATAGGCTGAAGAGCATCACAGCTTACAGTGAAATAATATGTACATGCTTTTAGAACATTTAAAACAAAACAAAGTATGAAAATGGGAGTCGTCTTGACGCAGAGACTTGAAAGATCAGGTCGTCTCCTCAGTTCTTTTTGTGGAGAAACTTCATTTTACTTCCTGGAAATAAAATACATGAATCTATTAAGCCGTGTAAAACGAAGCCACGAATATTCGGTATAAAAAAAAATCTGATTTCTGGCAAACATCCATGTTTAAGTTCTTATTGGTGAAGCCTATCACAGCTAGCTCGTGTCATGTGAGATATTTACAATAAAAAATAAAGTGAGAGTGAAACTGTGCAGAGGTTTGGTAAAAGCTGCTGTGTAGCTCTGCCTGTTCAGATGACATTAGCATATGCAGAATAAATATTTGATATTTCTGTTTATAACTTTCCAGCTCCTAAAATATGTCTGCTTCTGAACTCACCAAGGCCTCTGAGGAACTTGTTGACTCCACTCTGCTCTGTGTCTGGCAGCTCCTCCAAATATTGATCTACCCGCTGCTCAAACAGACCTGTCAACACAACAGCAGAGATTTTTCTTTTTAAAAAAAAGGAAAAGGAAGGGTAAAGAACTAGATTATGAAACGTCAATACTTCAGGGAGCTGCTTTGATTCAGTGAGAAAGCATGCTGTTGAAAAACTTTCAGCCACTAGAGGTCAGTGTAAGTGCAATGCTTTCTTCTGCACAGAGAGCACTAGGAATGCAGGGGTGGAAATGCACAAAGAAAAGCAAACAGCTTTCTCATGAAATGTTTTAAGGAAGAAAGAGCATTCATAGACCCAGCTGACACTCAGAGAACAGCAGTCTACCTTTAGCTCGTGTCTTTCTGAGCTCCCGGTCTTGGATGAACCCTGCAAACATCTGAGACTCCATGAAGACTCCCAGGAAACGTCGGATGCTCTTCGATGCCACTGATTTGCGGAAGGCCTCTCTTTGGAAAATGCGCTCCCCACGCTCATTCTGAGTGATAAACAGGGAGTAATGTCCAATAGTCTCCAGGAAGAAGCGGATGAACGCCTCCGACACCAGGCTGTTCAGCGAGTTATACTCTGTGGGGGATAAAAACGAAGGCGTTAATCGATAAAATAGGCCCACAGCTTTTGTTAAACCTTGAAGTTCAAGAATTTTGCTGTGCTTGCAAAGTAAAGTTGTCGAATAAAGACCAAACCTCAGTCATGTTAACGACAAAATTGAGACATAACAATAATGATGTGACAGCTTTGTGCTTATCCTATGTCAGAAGATGTCAAGTGAAGCACAATGACACTGCAGGAAAAACCTGAAATCCTGCCCATCAGAGCACCCAGAGCTACAACTGTCATTCAAGGCTAGTTTACCACAGGTCAATATTTTTTACTTATTTCTTTTCTTGATTACTCGTGTTGTTATTGTTTTTTATTACTTTCCACTAATATTAGCACAAGAAAGCTAATTGTTGTAGTTGTAGTTTCATTTTCCCCTTCACCTACAGTCCAATGAGGCTATACTGTGGGTTGCACAAGTGTATTGGCTTTCTGGACTAGTGAGAACTGGTTATGAGTGGCACTTGGCACATGTAACATAACCACACAGAGTGTTAGCTGTTGGTCTTGGAGGGGAATTTGGAAAGCAGAGATAAGACTGTCTGAAGTAGCCTTAAAAAAACACAAATGATTTGGCCTTATTATGTCAAAATTCTCTTTGTTTCTGTGCCGTAAAGCATGTTGTGACAGCCCATTACAGGTAAGCCATTCATGATTCCTTGATAAAAGCCTCATTTCCACACCAGGAGTCAAAACCTGGCCTCCTGGGTGAAAACCGGGAATCCTGACTGCGAGGGCACATGGGAGCTACACATAGAGACATTGACACATTAGAAACAACTGCACTTATGCTCCAGTCAGCTTGAAATGTACACTACTACCACCAGAAACAGCATTAGCTCATCTCAAAGATGAGCCTTTCATGACTCACTGTCAGCAGAACAGAAGACGTCATTTCCCAGCCAGTTTCACAGACTTGTAGACCGCGCTCCCTGTCGCCCTAATTAACAAGAAGAACATCTGCCGCGTTAAACCGAGAGATGTTCAGTCGCTTATTCACCTTCGTCTGACTCGCTGTCAGAGTCCTGAGTGATGATGTCATTCCTCTGCTCCAGCGCTTGCTCGAGAGCTGCTTGAAGTTTCCGCGGCAACAGCGATGCCTCGTCATCCATCTACAGACAGTTGAAAGTGCTGCAGTTACTACAGATGAACAACAGTGGCGTGGA